TTTGCACAGTGATCACGTGATTACACGGTAACATTTTTTTGTTAAAATATTTTTTTCATATTATTTGAAAAATAAGCTTTCTAAAAATATATAACTTGATGGGATTCAAAGAATATGATACTGCAGAAATGTGCTATGCAATTGCAATAGCAAAAACCTCTACTACATCCTTAATAATCTTTTCTTTCACAGAATTACTTGTTTTCAGAAATGTACTTTCGTCACATCTATTCATTTGGGGAAAGTAATTTTTTTTCTTAAAGTTTTATTTTTAATTATTTTTTACAACAACAGCAAGAAAGGTACATCACATTAAAGTGTCACAATAACATAAGATACAGCATACAAAACATAAAATAATGAAGAAAATAATGCCTTGTAACTGTAAATTCATATTTTTCACAGATTTGAGGAGTCAATGCAATCCTATACATTATTGTCAATATCATCATCATTATCAAGTACAGTGTTATCATCAGGATTTTCTCAGGTATGAATAATGTCACAAGTCAGTCATGAGTGACTCAAAGTGGCCAAATTTGATCCAAGATGCATATTTTCTCTGCTGAGAACCCTACACCAGTCCACCACAGAACAGTATTTCTCTGTTCTTTTTCAACCCCTAAATCCTGAGCAAGCAGGGAAGTAACATTTCTATAAGGAGGCAGTCTTGTTGGTAATTAATATTACCCGGTAAGATTATAATAACAATTGATACAATTTGCTACCTAAGAAAATTACTATACATATACCATATAGCAGACTTTCTGCTTAATTGCAGGGTGAAAGCAACCTGAATCCCCCCATGGTTATAATGGAATATTCCCCACTAGCTGTCTACACCAATCACATTTTGACAGCTTTGAATGATTTGAGATTGTGTGCACCAATAGCATTGGCTGAAGAGGTTGCTATGCAACTACAAGATTCCCTGTCTAAAATGGTGGCTGCCATCTTGGCTTTCCACAGGTATGTTGCATTATGGGAACACGATACTGGAACGAGATTGCAGGTACTGGAGAAAACATTGTTTGTGGCAACTGTGTATTCTGTACAATTGATAATTTTTTTGAAAAACAAAAATATGCAGGGTTGTGAAAGTAAACAAAAGTTGACTTCTATGTTCAGTGTTAAATGCTGAACATGTATGCTTACCTACAAATTTCAATTCATTACAAACCAACTATTTTGACCTAGTTATACTGTTATCTGCCCCCCCCCATTAAAAGTGGGCCCTAGCCCACATACATACTAGTGAAAGTGTTTCCGGTCTAGACTCCCAGTGATAATTCCCCCCAGCCCACAGACTCCTAGTGATAGTGTCCCCTGCCCAAAGACTCCTAGTGAAAGTGGACCCTGCCCACAGACTCCTAGTGAAAGTGGACCCTGCCCAAAGACTCCTAGTGAAAGTGGACCCTGCCCAAAGACTCCTAGTGAAAGTGGACCCAGCCCACAGATTCCTAGTGATAGTGGCTCCTGCTCAAGTCTCCTAGTGATAGTGGCCCCTGCCCACAGACTCCCAGTGAAAGTGGCCCTGCCCAAAGACTCCTAGTGATAGTGGCACTGCCCACAGACTCCTAGTGATAGTGGCCCCTGCCCAAAAACTCCTAGTGATGGTGGCCCTGCCCAAAGACTTCTAGTGAAAGTGGCTCCTGCCCAAGTCTCCTAGTGATAGTGGCCCCTGCTCAAGTCTCCTAGTGATAGTGGCCCCTGCCCACAGACTCCCAGTGAAAGTGGCCCTGCCCAAAGACTCCTAGTGATAGTGGCACTGCCCACAGACTCCTAGTGATAGTGGCCCCTGCCCAAAAACTCCTAGTGATAGTGGCACTGCCCACAGACTCCTAGTGATAGTGGCTCCTGCCCAAGTCTCCTAGTGATAGTGGCCCCTGCCCACAGACTCCCAGTGAAAGTGGCCCTGCCCAAAGACTCCCAGTGATAGTTGCCCCTGCTCACAGACTCCCAGTGAAAGTGGCCCTGCCCAAAGACTCCTAGTGATAGTGGCACTGCCCACAGACTCCTAGTGATAGTTGCCCCTGCCCAAAGACTCCCAGTGAAAGTGGCCCTGCCCAAAGACTCTTAATGGTAGTTGCCCTGCTCACAGATTCCTAGTGATAGTGGCCCCTGCCCACTGACTCCTAGTGAAAGTGGCCCTTGCCCAAAGACTCAGCCCACAGATTCCTAGTGATAGTGGCTCCTGCTCAAGTCTCCTAGTGATAGTTGCCCCTGCTCACAGACTCCCAGTGAAAGTGGCCCTGCCCAAAGACTCCTAGTGATAGTGGCACTGCCCACAGACTCCTAGTGATAGTTGCCCCTGCCCAAAGACTCCCAGTGAAAGTGGCCCTACCCAAAGACTCTTAATGGTAGTTGCCCTGCTCACAGATTCCTAGTGATAGTGGCCCCTGCCCACTGACTCCTAGTGAAAGTGGCCCTTGCCCAAAGACTCAGCCCACAGATTCCTAGTGATAGTGGCTCCTGCTCAAGTCTCCTAGTGATAGTGGCCCCTGCCCAAAGACTCCTAGTGATAGTGGCCCTGCCCAAAGACTTCTAGTGAAAGTGGAACCAGCCCACAGACTCCCCAATGAAAGTGACCCTCTGCCCACAGACTCCCAGTGATAGTGGCCCCTGCCCACTGACTCCTAGTGAAAGTGGCCCCTGCCCAAAGACTCCTAGTGAAAGTGGCCCC